CGGCGGAAGGAAGGGAGGAACAGAGGGAACAAGGAGGGGAAAGGCTGCACAAGCCATTCGTGGCTTTAGACAGCCCCCGCAGCATCGGCTAACCCCCTTGCACTTCGGCCTGAGAAACAGAAACCCAAGAGCGCTTACCCTGTACGGTGCCGCAAACCAATTGGGAAAGCTCAGTCGCCACCCCCCGGAGAAGCGCGACTTGCATGTCCATCTGGCGCCAGGCGAACAACAAAGGGCCAACGAAGCTCCGCCTGCGCCCAGTACGCAGGAACGCAAGAGCGCCCTGCACGTGCGCGTGAAGCAGCAGCACTCGCAAGACAAGCTGAGGGCCCACGACCCCACCAAGCTGCCTGGCGCCGCAAAATTTCGTGAGCAAGGGCCGCTTTCTCTTAGCCCAGTGGGCGCCCGCGACAGCTGACAGGTTTGAAGATCGAAACGGGCTCGAGGCACGCGACAGCAAGCACCACCCGAAAGCCCGATGGGTGGAGGATGGCACAGGCCTGACAAACCAGCACTTGCTGGTGGAACCACAGGACCTAAAGCGACCACGCCACCTGCGAGGCGCCGGCCCAGCACGCAAGTATTTATTTGTTTTGGCCTCTGCAGCGGAGAACACAAGTCCAACTACGCGCCGCGCGGCCCGCGGCCCCTCGCAGCGCCCAGGCGCGCTTCTGAAAGAATGCGAGTGCGCGCGGGGCGGAGCGCAGGGAGCCCCCGTCCAGGATCGGGTCTCTCACCGTCCTTCGTGGGACCCCCAGTGGACGAGCAGCGCGCTCGCAGCCCCCTTCCAACCACCTCGCACTGCGTGTTGCAGGCGACGGCGCCAGCCCAAGCAAGGAGCGGAACAGGAGAACACAACGGAGTCAGCAGCGGGCGCGGGGACATCGGACCTCCCCGTGGGCGGCCGGACAGCCAGAACGAGGGGAAAGGCGAGACGGCACAGCAGAGGAAGGCACGGCACCACAGACCCCGAGCACGGCAACGACAGCCCGGGCACAACACCCCAGACCCACGCAAAACGAGAAGGCACCACAAACCGACAACCCAGCACGACACGGCACCCACACGGCACCGCCGGGGGCGGCGGTACAACGCTCAGCGCACAGCTAGCACAGACAGGCGAATCTGACCCCGGCACGACGACGAACCACCAGCGGGCGGCGCCGGCGGTAGACGCGACGGAGACCCAGAGAAAACGCACAGCGGCACAGACCAAGAAGAGCACACCCACAAGACGTCGAGCCTGGAGCACGGAGCCCCCCCCCCAAAAAAAAATTATCCTGGCGAAGGACCCAACCATATGCAGTTGTGAGTATCGCAATTGTGCGTATCTTCTTCGGTGGCGCCCCTTCCTGGGGCCACGAACCGCATGAGGGGTGTGCCGAAATGTGGCGGGGTACACAACGCAAAGCAATACGATATATCTGATTACGAGAGAAAGAACGCGGGCGAGTCAGAGCAAGAGGGGATTCGAGTATGAATAAGTCTGCGCGCGAGTGAATATATTTGCTTGAATGCGATCATGGAGCCGCCTAGTGTAAGTGTCGAGCATGCCTGTCCGAACACACGTGACACTGGGCGTGGCCGCCGCAGGCAGCTTCCGCGGGAACCCCGACGGCAGCGTCCGCACGTCGCGACGCCCATGTCGGCGCGCCTCTTGCGAGGATCGCGCCCGCTTTCGGCTCTTCTTTTCCTTCCTCTTTGCCCGCGCACTCCAAAATCCAAGGCTGCGGGCGCAGCGCAGCGCGGAGTCCCCGCGACGCGCGCTGGTCGCCCCGGGCGGGGTCCCAGCGACGCGCGCGGGTCGTCCGCTGCGCGAAGCAGAGAGAGCTGACTAGCTAACTGGCTGGCTGATAGCGGGCAAGTCTCTGACCGCTGGGCAGAGCGACGACGGGCGAACGAGGCGCCGGGCCCCCCGCAGCACGGAGTTCCCGCGACGCGCGCTGGTCGCCCCGAGAGGGTCCCAGCGACGCGCGCGGGTCGTCCGCGGCGCGAGGCCAAACAATTAGTCGGGCAGTCGAGAGAAGGCGCGGCTCGGGGGAGACGCTCCTCAGGTCAGGCCTCGCGGATGAACTCGGTGAAGCCGAGCTCCCTGGCGAGGGCCGTCGCTTCCCTCCTGCACCGCTTCGTGCGCGCCGCAAACTGCTCCAGCTGCTTCCGCAAGCCCTGCGGCGGCCCTGCCAGGAAGAACTCGACGCGCGGCGCCCGCATGAGCAGGAGGTCCTCGTGGCGCGTGGCGCGCGAGAGCAGCACGTAGAGCTCCAGCCACCAGTCGTCGTCCTCCTTCTTGCCGTTCCCTACCTCGTGGCGGCCGCAATCAAGGATCACGCCTGGGCGACGTCGACCGAGGGAGCAGCGCGCCGGGCAGCCGACGGCCCAGGGCGAGAGTCCACAGGACCGAGAGATGGTCTGGCCGCGGACTGCTCGCGCCCCGGAGGTCTGGCCGCCCCCGGAGCGCCGTTCCCCCGCCCCGTCGCCTTCGCGCATGGTGCGCCCCTGGCACGCCACCGTGGTGATGACCCTGCCGTGCGAGAATTGCGGAGGGGGTGCAGAAATGGGTGGGGGTGACGCATGCGGGCGGCGGCACTGAGGCCTTCGGTGGAGCTCCCTATGGAGCCACGACACGTGTGAGGGGTGTGCCGAAATGGGTGCGGGGGACGCATGCGGCCGCGGGCACTGGGGCCTTCGGTGGAACCCCCTATGGAGCCACGAAACGTGTGAGGGGTGTGCCGCAATGGGCGTGGGGGGCGCATGCGGCCGCGAGCACTGGAGCCTTCGGTGGAGCTCCCTATGGAGCCACGAAACGTGTGAGGGGTGTGCCGAAATGGATGTGGGGGACGCATGCGGCCGCGGGCACTGGGCCTTCGGTGGAGCTCCCTATGGAGCCACGAAACGTGTGAGGGGTGTGCCGAAAGGGGCGTGGGGGACGCATGCGGCCGCGGGCACTGGAACCTTCGGTGGAGCTCCCTATGGAGCCACGAAACGTGTGAGGGGTGTGCCGAAATGGGTGTGGGGGACGCATGCGGCCGCGGGGGGCAGCTGGGGTGTGAGGGTTGTGCTTGCGGCCGCGGGCACTGGAGCCTTCGGTGGAGCTCCCTATGGAGCCACGAAACGTGTGAGGGGTGTGCCGAACTGAACGTGGGGGACGCATGCGGCCGCGAGCACTGGGGCCTTCGGTGGAGCTCCCTATGGAGCCACGCAACGTGTGAGGGGTGTGCCGAAATGGGTGACGCATGCGGCCGCGGGCACTGGGGCCTTCGGTGAAGCTCCCTACGGAGCCACGAAACGTGTGAGGGGTGTGCCGAACTGGGTGTGGGGGACGCATGCGGCCGCCGGCACTGGGGCCTTCGAGGGAGCTCCCTATGGAGCCACGCAACGTGTGAGGGGTGTGCCGAAATGCGCGTGGGGGACGCCTGCGGCCGCGGGCACTGGGGCCTTCGGTGGAGCTCCCTATGGAGCCACGAAACGTGTGAGGGGTGTGCCGAAATGGGTGTGGGGGACGCATGCGGCCGCGGGCACTGGGGCCTTCGGTGGAGCTCCCTATGGAGCCACGAAACGTGTGAGGGGTGTGCCGAAATGGGCGTGGGGGGCGCATGCGGCCGCGGGGAGGCAGCGGGAGGAAAGAAGGAGGGAGAACGCGGGGCACCGTCTCTTCAAAACGAGGACCCAACACCACAGGATGGTTGGGAAAAAACAAAAACAAAAAAAAACTATCTGGTGGCCCCAGCCGGGCACGCCACTAGCGGAAATGCACATGCGCACGGCGCCCCACTGGCGGAAGAGACACTGGAAGACTCGGGCCGGAGAGGAGGGCGGGAGCAGGGAGGCGAGACCACAGAGGTCCCAAGGACAGCCGAGGCTGAGCAAGAAGACAGAAAAGAAGACCTGCCACCCCGAGGTCCCGCGCGCCACGAACCCCACAATGGAGCAGCATAGCAACGCAGAGCGGAGCCCCCAGCACTGGGAGACGTCAGGTCACCACCCAGACAGACGCACTACAGACCAGAAGCGAAAATGGAGCCAAGAGCCTAGGCCGAGTACCAAATCTAAAAGAATCCCTTGCGCTCCTGGCGGGCCAGGCCGAGAACGAGAAACGAAACACAGGCAGGGCACCATGTCTTTCCATACGCCGCGACAGCGTTGGGCTGGCCGCGGGCGCCCGGGCTCTCAGCCCCCTCAGCGCAGGCGACTTACCTCTCCGCGGGGGGCAGGGGGGCGATGCAGCAGGCGCGCCCGCGCGGGCCGCCTCCCATCCCCACGTGGAGGCAGCCCGAGGGCACCATCGCCAGGGCGACTCCTGGCAAGCAAATTCATTGCCACCTGGACAAGTCAGGGCAAGTCGTCACAAACAAAGGCCTCCGCAGTACCCCGCTGGAACACAAGAACATCCTGTTTGAGGTGCGCCAGGCCGGCGGCATAAACTTGCAGCTGCGGAGATACTTGAGCGTATAATCTTTTGCTCGCGCGAAGAGCAGCCAAACACCGGGGGGCCAATATGCTTGCAGTGGCCTCGAGCACTAGCTGTTTCACGTGGGCGAGCGCTGTCCGGGCGTGGACGTGCTCCCTGGACCTCTCCGTTCCTGATGTGGTGGGGCGGCCTTTGGCTGGGCTTCAGGATTGCGCCCAGGCGCGCACTGGCGCTGCCCCTGCGGCGTACCCAGGCGCAGCTGCCACCCAGACTGCGCCACGACTACCGCGCCAGGCATCTCCTTGGGCCGATCGCGCATCCCAGCAGGCGCCTTGCCGACGACGCCAGCCTGCGATCGAGTGAGAATAAGACGGGGATCAACGAGCCACCCCAGCAGGACCTCGGCCCCCATCACTAGGCAGCCAAAATCCCACGCAGGGGGTCTGTCAAAGATAACCCTGGCCGAAGCCCCCACCTTCCGTGGTAGTTGAACATGAGACTGGTCCGTCTTGCAGACAGTGGGCCGGCTGACACGGGCCCCCGCGACACCAGGGCATGAAGAGCTCCCAGAGAGAACGCGGCACCTTTGAGGTCACCAACGAACTGCCTTGGGGGCGCCCGCGCCCAGGCGGTCAAGCAAGTAGGCCATGTCGGCCTCTGAGGCCAGCCGCCAGGCACCGCGCAGGATTGCTGCCTCGGCCCTCGGGACGGGCGCCTGCTCCGTGGCAGCTCCAGCTGCCGGCGCCACCCCGACAGCCAGAGTTTCGAGGTCGCCACGGCAGGCGGCGCTGGCCCACATGTGGCACAGGAACCCAGTGTAGCAGTAGCAAAAGCCACGCAGAACTGCCAGAGGTGGGGCTGCACCCACGCCGCGAAGCTTTCAGGTAGCACGCGGTACACCTTCTCAGCCAGCCACTTGAGCTGCGCTTTGATTTCTGAGCCTGCTCTGCGCCGCTGCCAGGCGAAAATAAAGAAATGTTGTCGCGAAGCGCAGCGTACTGGCTGTCTGGCCACGTGACTTCGTCGAGGGGAGGGGGGGGCACTCGTGGCCACGGACGCCTGCATCTTAGGCGGACCCCGCCCCCACAGTACGGCGCTAGCGAAAACGCGGCCTACTGTAAGGCCGCGGGACGTGCCAGCCGCGAAGCGGTCAGAAGCGGGCCCTCAGGAGACGATGACGATGGCGGCAGCGGTGCAACCCCCCCCCATTTTGTTGCTGCGCTGGCCGCACGCTCCTCCCGCCGGCGTTGGTAGCGCCGGGCGGGTCCCTCCTTCCGCCACGCGAAGCGGGCCTCGCCGCGGCGCCGTTAGACACCAAGGCAAAGCCCAGGGTGGGCGGGCAAAAGAGGGCCCATTCAGGCCCTGGGAGGGCTTCGAGCCCCGAAGGCTTGAGCGGGAGAGAGGGAGAGAGAAGGGCAGGCAGAGGCAGGAGCAGGGAGAGGAGAAAACCCAAGCCGACTGGGGAGGGCGGGGCCCAACCGTTTAGGACAAACAACTAAGACCCCGCCCCCACAGTACGGCGCTAGCGAAAACGCGGCCTACTGTAAGGCCGGGGGACGTGCCAGCCGCGAAGCGGTCAGAAGCGGGCCCTCAGGAGGCGATGACGATGGCGGCAGCGGTGCACCCCCCCCCCATTTTGCTGCTGCGCTGGCCGCACGCTCCTCCTGCCGGCGTTGGTAGCGCCGGGCGGGCCCCTCCTTCCGCCACGCGAAGCGGGCCTCGCCGCCTTTGTTCTAATGATACTGGTGCTGCTGCCAGTGACCCTGCACACTGGCCGCCTGGCGGATTCTGCACGCCGGCGCGCTGTGTGGGCGCCCTGATGGGCGTCACCAAAATTGGGTGCCAGGCTCTGTGCCGCCGGCACCGTCTATACTCTGAGTCGCGCACCGCCTGGCGCATGCGCCGGCGTGCGCGCGGGGCCCAACTGGCCCTCTTGTCTGCCGACCGCCGCCAGGCAACTGATGCCGGCGCGCACAACTGTCCTCCGCGAGGTTAGGCCTTGGGCTCGCGCCGATGCATTGATTGCCGGCGGAGCCTGGCCTCGGGCCAAGGCCCGAAGATGCCATCGCTGGCGCTCGGCACAGGCCGGTGCTTGGCACCCCCGTCCGCGCCGCGGCCTCCAGATCTCCCGGCTCCCCGCCCCTCCACAAGCGCACGGGGCGGGCAGGGTCCGGCCCCTGACAGAGTGGGTTCCCCGGGCCGGCGCTCGGGCGCGGGCCTGGGCCTGGGGTGGGGTGGGGGGCGGGGTGGGGCGCGGCCACGCTGGGCCGTCAGATTGCCAGCTACTGTGTCTTAAGCTGACGTCAGTGTGCCCGGCACGACCAGGCTTGGCAATGAGAGCCGGCGTGCCAGGCAGGCTTCAGCATGGCCCTTGTCCAACGGCTGCAAGGGGACCCACAGTATCCCAGGCACGGTGGGGCCCCGACGGACAGGCCTGTGCGCGTACGCCCGCGCTGAGGTATTGGCCAGTGCCGAAGGCACGGGTGGGTGTGCCCTGCGAGCGCGCGGCTGATCCGCCGGCAGCGCAGGTGGTAGGGTCACGGCATTCAAGCACGCACGGCGGGCAGGCCGGCGGCTTGGGCTGGGCGCACGCCAGGTGTGCAAGCACCGGCGGCGCCCGCTGCGGCCCCCCTCATGGGCTCTCACGCCTGGCGCTCTCAGCGCCGGCGGCAGCTCTGCTGGGGGCGCTGTCCTTCGCCGGGTTGGTCAGCGAGGAGGTGTCCCTGGCCATCTTGCCGGAGATGCCCTTCATCGGCTCGTGCGACTCCCACAGGTAGCCGTGGAACGCGTCCGACTGCCAGCGCCCGAACTGGCGCACCCGGGAGAGGTCCTCGGTCACGTGGTACATTGCGGTCGCCCCGCCGATCCTCAGGGAATGGCTGCCGATTTCCTCTCTAGAGAGGCCGGCGGCCAGCCCCGCGACCGTCAGAAAGTGCTGCACCTCGGCCCTGCGAATCGGTGTACCTGACGCCCAGCGGAAAAGGGGCAGCCGTTCCTCGGTGCCCTTTTATCCGCTGGGGATGGTGAGCCTGGAGCCGCTCCATCGCCGCGATCGGGCAGAGCGTCGTGCCGGCGCGGTAGTGGTTCCTCACCGTCCCGACGTTGAGCTGGTCCGTCTTGCTGCCCTTGATGTAGATCACCATCTCGTCGGCGTCCTGGAAGCTGGGCACCCGCTTCCCGTCCTTCCTGGGCTCTACGTCCTCCCCGTGCAGCACGCGCTCGAAGGACCACGAGCGCCCGTCCTGGAGGAGGTACTCTGAAGCCCTCAGGAGGAAGAAGAACGCTGTCACAATGGCCGCCCAGATGACCACCGCATCCTCCTCGGGGAGCTTGGCTTCTTGCTGGAGGAAGCCGCGGAGCCACTCGAGCATGGCTGGCGTGACGGGCTTCTTCCGCTTGGTCTCGGGCCCCTGCCAGCGTTTTAGCCTTGCCAGGGTGCTCCAAAGGCGACCCCTGTGGAGCAGTGGATCCGAGTAGCCGGCCACCAGGTGGGCGTAGCGCACCGCGAAGAGCTTCTGCTTGATGGTCCCCTCGGTCCTCCCAACGACCCGCGCTAGGAGGACGGCGAAGTTGATGAGCGCCTCCTCGTCGGCCAGGCGCTCCTCGCGATCGCGTCCTGGGAGCCAAGGGCTAAGCCCCTGCGCCTGGCGCACAGCTACCCAGAGCCGCCATCCTCCCTCGTAGCCTGCCCTCGTGCCTTCGCTGAGTTTCTGCAGCATGGCTTCCATCTTCTGCTGCGCGAACCAGCTGGCGTAGTTGGCCCCGCCTGGCTCAGCACGGCCGGCGGGGGCGAGCTCCTTCCCGGGGTAGTTGCTCTTCCGCGCTACGCCCAGCGCCTGTGGCTTCACCAGGTTGGTCGCTGGCATCTCTTTGGCACGTCGGGGGCTCTTTTTACGAGGGCTCTTCGAGCGAGTCACACTCTTGTCCAGCTTGACCTTCTCTGCGGCCGGAGCTTCGCGGGGTCCGATGAGCGTGTCCTCATCGATCATCTTGAAGCGGACTGCTTGGGCACGCCGTCGATTCTTGTGCATCTCATCAGTGAGCGCTCCTCCTGCCCTCGCCTCGTCCTCCGCTGCCAGCGCTAGCGCGGGCTGATCTGGTGCCTGTGCCCAATCGCAGAACCAGCGCTTGGTAGCATCCCACGCGGTTTGTTCCTCTGGATCATGGCATATTCCGGCGCGCTGCGTGCTGGTACTGTCGAGTGCTTCCGCCACCGCGGCCAGTACCGCCTCCGCGGTCCTCGGGGGGAGCGCCCCGGCTGCGCCCTTCAAGAGCTCGTCCTCCGCGGAGCCCTGGGCCCGCAGGTGGGTCCACTCGTCGTTGGTCCCTCCCTGCACTCGCCAAACCTCCTGGGGCGTCAGGGCACGGACCGTGCCCCCGCCTCCCCCGGTGACTCGGAGGAGCGTTGCTCCGGGTCCTTGGGGTTCTGCCCCCGGCCAACGGATGGTGCCCACCGGCCCCTCTTCACTGTAGATCAGGTGCTTCACTCCATCCTTCTTGAGGTGCCCGACCGGCTTGAGGAGGAGGGGGTCGCTGGTGGACTGGATGCGAGGATCCCACGACACTTCGCCCTGCTGGTCGAGCCAGAGGTGGTCCCTTCCCTTGTCCAAGAGCGGCTTGACGCTGGCAGCTCGCGAGCAGGCCGGCGGCATGTTAATGCACGCCAGGCCCACCCCCGCTTTCCGACGCCCGCCCGTGAGCACCTGCCTGGTCCGCGCGGCGGCATCCCCGCGGCGCGTGCAGACCACCTCAAACTTCGAGATCATGTAGCCCAGGTGCTTGAGTGCCTTCTCGAACCTGGCCGTATCCACCCCGGTCGGGGCGTCCACGACCACCACTTCAGGGCTCTCACGGGTCGCTGCAACGAGGAAGGCCCCCATCTCTCTGCCCTTGGGGTCCAGAGACAGCGACGCCATGAGCCATCCTGCTTTCTGGTTCTCCTCGGGTTCTGAGCCACCGAGGCGCTTGAGGGCTTTCGTGTACGGGTTGATGAGGCTTCCCACTTCTCTGCCCAACTTCCCGCGGAGCGGGAGAGGTCTCGGCGGCCCATGCCTCCTCTGAAGTGCTCGGTGTCGAAGGGCAGCCTCGGCCACGGGACCCGTCTCTCCTGGGAGTCTGAGAAGGCGCTCCTTGGCGCCCTCCAGCATTTGGCCCCAGGCTGCGGGGGGCTCGAGGCGCTTCCAGCCTGAAGTGGCCAGCGTGTCGTGAACCTTCTTGACCTCCTCGCGGGTAAGCCAGTCGGCCACTTCGTTGTGGTAGGTCCTAACAAAGAAGGAGACGATGCGGCACCCGTGCATGGCTTCGATCCTCTCCACTAAGCGGATCAGGTGGCGGGCGAGGGCGTTCTTGGGCCTTCTCTTGGTAAGCCATGCCTTCACATTCTGGTTGTCTGTGACGTAGAACACCAGCTCGCCTTCCCACTTCGAACCCTGCTTCGTGGCCAACGCGACCACCGCCAACAGCTCGACCACCGCGATGATCCAGTCCTCCTCGCTGCTCTCGCCCCCGACCGCCTGACTCAGGGCCTCGAGCAGGGGCCCGGCGTCCGCGGCCATGTACTCCGGCGTCGGCGTGGCTCCTCCTGCGGTTGCGCTCCCCCAGTCGATGGCGCCAATCGAGGAAGTGGTGGCATCGCCCCCGGTCCACCGCGTGGTACGTGCTGTTCCCGGCAGTGCGAGGCGTTCGCGCACTGAAAGGGCCTGCGTGAAACTGGCTTGGAAAGTCGTGCTCCAAGCTTCGGGGACGTCGAAGAGCATCCTCAGAAAGCCCACAGACGCGTCCCACTCCTCCCAGGCGAGCTCGACCTCTTCGGGCGCACCCTTCGGCTCTGCCCAGCTCGTCCCGCTGCTCAGGAGCCGGTCCAGGGCAGGTAGCTCGGGGCGGAAGGCAGGCTGCGCTGATGCCCAGAACTGGGCACAGCCTCGCAGCTCTTGTGCGACCTTCAGGAGGGCCCGCCTTGATCCCCTGAGCTCCGGGAGGGCGAGCAAGTACTGGGCCTTGATGCACTTGGGCTCTGGGAGCCTAACCACCTTCGTGTCGAAGTTCACGTGGAGGCCCCAGATCAGCTGCTCTGCGGCAAATTCCCCCTCGACGTCCAGCTTCTCCTCGTTGACTGCGTCCGGGCCCCAAACCCGCTTCATGGCCCCGTCGAGCTCCTCGGCTGAGAGCCAGGGTCGGAGGCCCACTAGCGGTTCGAGGACGACCCCGCCGTCCATCAGCCACTTGGAGGCGTACTTGACGGCATCGTTGATCCTGGGCGCCGGCGGCTTCCTCCTCTCGCGCTCGCTCTTGGCCGCCCAGGCGAACGCCATGCACTCGCCGGGGCTGCCGGCCCAGCCGAAGACCAGCACGCCATGGATCAGGACGACTCGTCCTGGCACCCCGACCTCTTTGCCCGGGAGCGTCGTCCCGAACTCTGGCACTGCAGCTGGCTCCAGGTGGTGCCACTTGAAGGCCCTGGCCACGTCGCGCTTTGCGACCACCTGTTGAACGCCCGGGTGCCTCGCCTCCCACCAGAGGCTGAGCCGCGCAAGCCCCCTGTGGAGGGGCTGCTTAGCTGGTGGGTGCTGCTCCTTCGGGGAGAAGGCGTTGGCCGCGCGCATGTCGTGGATCGGCCGGCCCTCCTTCGAGATGGTCCGATCCGGCAACATCTTGGGGACCCTCCCGCTGGGCGACTCGACCAACGCCGAGGCGGTGAGCACATCCTCGACCTCGTCCGAGGCCCAGAGGACGACGCCGTAGCGGCTGTCCTTCCAGGCTTTCTCGAACATCTCCAGCGCGTGGTCCACCGCCGAGGAGTGCGACTTGGCCTGCGTGCGCGCCCGCTCCTCCGCGCGCCGCACAGGTACCCCCTCGGCGGCCATTGCCCGGAGGCAGGCGGCGTGATGCGGGTCCAAGGACTTCTGCACGTCTTCCTGGAGCACACCGCTCAACGGGTTCCCGTGGATCTCCTCCCGCGCGTGCTTCAGCAGCTCGGCAGCTCTCTCTGTGCTGCCGGCGAGGCGGAGGAGTGAGTTGCCCCGCCTCACTACTTCTGGCACCTTCTCGGGCTGGAAGGTGGGGTGGTCCGCGCACCACTTGACGTAAGCGCGCGCCTCCTCCTGCGCCTTCCCTCCGCCTGGGGCCGCCGGCGCCCCCCCCAGAGGGGGCCCCCCACAGCGGCCTCCCCGCGGGGGAGACGGCCAGGGGGGTGGCATCATCGGCGGCATGCCTGGCGGTCTGCAGATCTGCCCCGGGAGGAGCGGGCGCCACCCCGGCGGCCGCAGCAGTGGCCTGACCGCGTGGGCCGGGGGCACGAGTGGCCCTGCTGGCTCGTCCTGGCGAGGCCTGGGCTGCGAGGGCTTCCCCTTGGAGGTGGCTCGCAGCTGGGCACCCAACGATCTTGGCCTGGGCCTGGACGTGGGCGCCTCCTCGGGCGTTCCTGCGCTGCCGGCGTCTGCCCTCCTAGTAGGTGGGTCTCCGCCGGAGGTCGTCGACCTACCTGCGGCCCGCCTGGCTGCTTCCACGACCGTCTCTGCTGAGCGGCTTCGCCTCGTAGGTGCTGCCTTCTGGGGGATCGCGGTGTGGGGAGTCTGCTCTTCTGATGCCGGGCTGGGTCTGAGGGGGCCTCCAGGGCCTCTGGCGGCGGTGGGGCGCCCGGCGGGGCCCTTGTGCCCGCGGCGGGGGCGGGGCCTCCGCTGCCGCTCGCCCCAGGGGAGCTCTGAAATGGCTCCTCCCTGCTCTGCCTGGCTGCTTCTGCTTGCCCAGGCCAGAGGCTCAGAGGATCTGGGCCCTCTGGGATGGGTGGGGCTGGTCTCTCCTTCGTCCTCGCGCACGGCTTCTCCACTGCCTCGTCCTCCGAACTCTCGGCGGAGTCCGCGTCGTCGCTCGGAGGCTCCTCCTCCGCCTTTTCGTATACGATCCTCTGGCGCTTCTTCGCGGGGATGTCGTCCAGCTCCCCTGCCTTCACCATCTTGCGGGTCAGCCTTTCGAGGATGTCGACGCACTCGCTCGCGATCTCGCCCTGCTCCTCGTAGGGAGTACCGGTCCAGCTCCGCGGCAGATCCTCGAACATGGAGCTGATGCCCTCGATCAGGACTTCGCGGGCTTTCCTCCTCCGATCTGGTCCTGTGGGATCGTTGGCCGGGACCCCGAGCAGGTTGTTCAGGATGCACTCCGCTTCGTGGCACTTGTTCTCCCCATCCAGGATGGCCGAGGGCAGGGGGGTCTCGTCCTCCCAGGCTGGGTCAAGCGGGGTAGCCGCGCTCTGCCCGCTGGGGGGCTCTGAGCTGGCCCGGCGGGGATGCCCGGCTCGCGCCTGCTCCGCCTCGCGCTTGCCGGCATCCCTCGCACGACGGGCCCGGCGGCGTTCCTTTGCCTCTGCCAGTTGCATCTGCAGCTCCTTGATGCGCTTCTCCTCCTCCTCCAAGACACCTACCTCGGCGGCTCTGGCGGCTTCGAGCTTCCTCCTTATGCTCTCCAGCTTTATGCTGTCGGCTGAGCTGCCGCCGCTGCTGGACCCCCCGGCGGGGGCCTCGCGGCTCTGCCTCTGGAGGGCCTGAGCAGCGGCCAGCTGGAAACGCTTTCCTCCCGAGTGTGGTGGGGGAGTCCGCCTGTTCCAGACGACGCCAAGCTCCGGGCTGCCAAAGCCCTGGGAGCTGGCTCGGTCGGCGATCCTCAGCGTGACGCTGCGGTGGGAAGCGGGGGTGGCCTCATTGCGGTGCCACGGCGCCTCCTCGCG